ATAATAATAATAATTAATAAAATCAAATAAAAAGGAATAGACTCCTGAACAGACTCTGACCCTCAGTTTCCTTTTTGGTAAAGACAGAAAGATACCTATCATGGCTCAATACATATTACCTACTATTATTATCCTGTACGAACTCTAAACATAGTCATGACTGCACCACATAAGCATTGCTATTTAAAACCACAAATATATCCATCATATAAGAGGCATACAAATTTTCAGGAAAGAAGCCTGTAAACCCTGTCCTAACACATTAAGCTTTCCTCTTTCCTTGTAATTAAGTGTGGATATAATTGCATGTGGCGTAGACCAGATTTGTTTCTCATCTCAAGCTGCATCTGATTTCCTGAACAAGCAGATGGAGGAAGTCACAATGGAGGAGGCTTGCCTGAGCTTGCACCAGTTCCAGCTCTGCCTGCTTTGATAAGCACATGACATGTAAGCAAGGCACAATGGTCTGACCCTAGTTGTTCTTTGCATAGGAGCTTAAGAGCTCTTAAAAGCCTAGAAAGCGTGAGAGCCAGAGTAGTTGCTAATGTCTGGCAAACTGAAAGGCTGGGAAAAGAGGAAGGCAAGAACACTTTGTACCTAACCATGTTAGTTGAGGACTGCCTGGCACCTGGAGCCATCAGTGCCCTGGAAAATCTGTCCCAGTGAGCAAATTACCATCCCTGCAGATGGGTTCATTAAGCATTTAGTACATAAATGGATGCTGTGTGAGCCGCCCACGCGCCCATCTGCCCATCCAGTGCTCTCCCACTGGTGTCACTAAGGTCTTTCAGGTAAGGCGCCTTAAGATAAATGGCTTTTCCTACCTCGAAAATCTTGGGCTCCGTCGATACTCAGTGTCCTCACAACATTCTCAAAGGTTCCTAATTCTCTCAGGAAAATACTACTGCTTTTAGGGAGTCTAAACTTCAAATTATAGATATGGAAAAATTTATCTTTGAATTAGGTTGATAAGGGCAGATCATCCCATCCCTTGATGATAATGAAGCACACCATAAAACACAAAATCTTGAAGAAGATCCAAACACTGAAGAAGGTTTTGAAAATCAGTTTTAAACACATGTACAAATGTACATCAAAGTGTATCATGATTAGCCCATTTTTTTTCTTCCAAATACTCAGGTGCTAAGAAATCTAGTTTTCAAGGGTGCCTGAGATGACGAGAGCTGACAGCCTGAACAATCCAGGCAGGTTGTATAAATCCTAGATTGTAACTCAGCTCAGATTCCATTAAAATTTTGCAACCATATTATTAAATGAAGACTTATTCATGATGGAAATATTATTCCTCTTTGTTGGGGCAAATAAAGAAATATTTCACACACTCCCAAGATCAAAACAAAGGCTATCTAATGCTTTCTGACCATGCAGAATGTAGTATTTACCAAGCAAAGACAGCCTGTGTCTTTGAGAAGTACAAACTGTGATTCTGGAACATACGGCACAGATTGACAATGCTAATATCTCTAGCTAGCTAGCCTAGATAATGGCTTTATTGAGCTATGTGCCCATTGGAAGGGTGCAATCCAATGCTTTTCATTATATAGACAGAGTTGGGCAACCAATGCCACAATTAATCTTAGACCATTTCCATTACCTCATAAAGAACTCTCCTGTCCATTAGCATTCTCTCCACATTTCTGCTTCTCCCAGCCCCTGACAACCATTGATCTTCTTCCTGCCTTTAGGATTTGCCTGTTCTGGACATTTCACAGAAGTGGAACCATAGCATGCATGATTCTTCAGGACTGAGTCCTTTCGTTTAGTGCTTTCTGAGCTCCATCCATATTCCAGCATGTATTACTCAGATATCCTTCCTATGGGTAGACCACATTTTATCTACTCATTCATCAGTTGAAGTAAATTTATGTTATTTCCACTTTGGGTTAGCAATAATCCTGTTACCAACATTTGTGTACATATTTTGTGGCTGATGCATGTTTCCCACTCTCTTGTGCCGACCTGCAAAGGATATGATATGCTTAGCCTCTTGAGAGTATTCCAAAGTTGTTGCCTCACTTTACACAATGTATGAAGCTTCCCCACTAACTCTAAGCCATGTGGGTGTAGTATTTGTTAAGCCTGTCACGGTATACCCTTTTTCCTGCCCAGAAGGAAAGCATATGTCCTTAGCCTAAACCTGTCTCAGAACAATTGACTGATTGTATAAAAAAAATGAAATAGTAATAATGCTGAGATTAACTCTTGTCTAACATTCAGACAGCACAGACTGTGCAAGCAGGGAGAGAGTGAGAAAGAGAGAGAGAAAGACAGAGACAGAGAAAGAAAACACCACAATTTTCAAAATGAAATAATCCATATTCTTTTGCTCTAGAAAACACTGAATAGAAATCTAAGATTTGCATTTTATGAGAGTCAACTGAGAATATGCCTGAAAGATCTAGAAATTACTTATCTAGGTTTTTGAGAACACACACCTGAAGCAGGCAATGAACTATAAGCTCAACACATGACCAGTTAAACCCAAGGTAGCCTTACCTGCTTCCTGACGACTGACAGCTGGAAAGAACAGACTAAGCAAAGAGGGGACCTATTTTCCTGTCAGACTACTGATATGCTCTTGGTAGGAGACTAGCTAAGAGATGAAGGGAAGCCTCAAGGCCACAGTACCTTTTTTCCATAGACTCCTTCAAAGGCTTTGGAAACCGATGGTGTCATTGTATGTAGCATACTGTACAAGCTCTTGGCATACATTAAGGATGCTTTCACAGTACTTATTCAGCCACGGTCTACTTGGTTTTACTGCCAAAAACAAAATTGATGCTGAATGAGGTCACTAGCAACACTATGGATCCAGCAGTGCAGCTTTGTGGGTAAACTAGGACAGGGAGCACTCATAACAAAACTACTCCACAAGTCCCCCAATTAGTGCCATTAAACTTACCCTTTAAAACAAATAAAATATGTCTCTATCGAGCCTGTGGCACATTAAGGCTACCATTTCGTTTTATTGCAGTTTCTGGAATGATTTCTAAAATTTCCATTATTTCAGGAGAGATTTCAAATGCACTAATTGGTACATTCTGAAAAGAACTATTAAGGGAGATATGCGAGCTCTAGTGTATGTGGGGCAGGAGCATAAATCTATCCACTTTAGGAAACATTTTGCAAGGTGAAAATGGTGGGGGGAGGGGGTTGAGATACTCTGAGGAGATAGGAGTATTGGGGATGTGACAAAGGAGGATTCAGTGGCTTGAACCAATATTGCAACATTGGAGAGAATCTAGATATTACAATTGATTACAACTACAATGGACCCTGATATGATTCCAGGAAGAGGAAGGGAGGGAAAGAGGAGAGGGAGAGAGAGAAGGGGGAGCTTATCGATACATCTCTTGAGAAATTTGGTCCTGCCCACTCCATTATCCACCCCCTCTGTTCTTCTTCTTTCCTCCCTTCTCCTTCCCTCCCATCCCCTCTGTACCTCCTCCCTTCTGCTCTTCACAACTTCACATTATCACCTATTCTGTTTAAGCAGACGGGATGCCCTCAGAAAGCATCCTCAGCTGAGTTGTCCCAATATCTAAAAGCATACCACCAGAGTATGAAAATTATTTCCTTTCAATGCCTGTTTTTGCCTGTGTTTTATTTAAGCTTAGAAACGCTCTTCTACAGGGTGGGCGCAATTGTATGAAGTCTGATCTCTGTATGTATGAGCCTGAAGGCAAACAAACAAGCAAAAATAAAAAACAAATAATTTGGGCCAGTGATATGTCATCAGGTAAAGGTAATTCCTGCCAAATCTGGTGACTTGAGTTCAGTCCCTGGAACCAACACGGTAGCAGGAGGTAACCGAGCCCCACATGTTATCATCTGATGACCACAAGCACACACACACACACACATACACACACACACAGATATACACATACAGGCAGATGCACACATGCATGCACACACAAGTGGACACAGACACACAGAACATTTGGGAATAGACCTAACCAACTGGGAAAAAAAACCTCTACAACGAAAATTTTAAGAAAAAAAAAAAAAATGCGGTCCGGACAGATAGCTCAGTGGTTCAGAACACTGGCTACTCTTGCAGAAATCCCAGGTTCGATTACCAGCACCCACATGGCAGCTAACAACCACTCATAACGCCAGTTCCAGAGGATCCAACACCATCTTCTGACCTCCACAGACATTGCACTACACAGGTGCACTTTTATACATGCAGGCAATACACTCGTACACATAAAATAAAAAATAATTATTTTTAATGTAAAAATGTTTTTTAAAAACTTAAAGATAGACACTAACAAATGAGAACAGAGGTCATTTGTTTGGTAGATGAGGGTAATTACTTTGCCCTTCAGTGTGTTTTCCAGTTTTTATAAGTAGATTGAATTGGTTTCCTGATATACTGTACCAAAGTACCTCAACACAGGCGGCTTGACAATGGGAGTTTAATGTCTCACAGTTATGGAGGCCAGAAAGCTAACAGAAGTCGGAAATCAAAGTTCCAGCAAGGCCAGGCTCTCTCCAAAGTCTCAAGGAAAGAATCCTTCCTTACCTCCCCTAGCCTCTGGCACTGGGTATTTGTCCTTGGCTTTCCTTGGTTTGCAGATTCCTCGCTCTAATCTCTGCCCATGTTGCCACATAACATCTCTCTGTAAGTCTCCTCTCCTTTTCTCATAAAAACACCAATGTTGTGGGATCTATCCCTTGCCAGTGAAGCTTCATTTTAGTAATTACATCCACAGTGACCCTATTTTCTTCTTTAAATAAGACTTTTGTGGATTCGTTGAGAGTTTCATATACCGTATTTTGATCTTATTCAGGCCATTCTCACACCTCTCAGACCCACTTCCACATCCCTACCCCCATCACTTCACATCCTCTATTTTTTGATGGTGTATTGAATCTAATTTGTGTCAAATGCTTCTTAGGTGTGGGTCCATACCCTGGTCAACCTACTCAAAGACTACACCCTTAAAGAAAACTGACTCTGTCTCCCAGTAACTATCAATTGCTAATAGTTCCTCAGCTAAAGCCCAGGCTTCTTTGACACTTCCCTCCATGCTGGGCTTTCGTCTGGTCTGGGATTGTGCAGGTCTTGGGCATGCTGTCCCAAGCATTGTGACTTCATATGTGCAACTGTACTGGTGTTTTTTTTCCCAGAGGACAGTTTCTTTGTATTCATCAACCACCTCTGGCTCTTACAATCTTTCCTCCCCCTCTTCCAAAAGGATCCCTGAACCTTGGGAAGAGAACGTGGGATATAGGTGTTCCATTTAGGACTGAGCATTCTACAGACTTATTCTCTATACATTAACCAGTCATGGGAGTGACCCTGTTTTCAAATAAAATCTCATTTTGAAATAAGAGAGCTGGTTAGGATGTAAATGTATTTTTGGGTAACACAATTCAATTATTAACAGGGTACTTTCAGGAGAGAAATAATATTCTTTTTCCTGTTTCTGGGACAGCAGATTAATTAATGATTGAAGATTGTGAAGAGTTGGCCACCCATCTTCACATCATTTCCTCTCTCCTTCTAGAGAAGGAGGCAGAGAAAAGAAATCTACAGGTGGAAATGGGAGCAACAAAATTCACACCGCCCGCCCACCCCAGATGAGTCACACTGGGTCTTATTTTCCCTCTGACTTGCCCTTCTGCCAGGGAACATATCTCGACTGAGTTGAGTTTTTCAGCACTTACCTTTGAAAACAGCATTCTGAAAGTTTCACATTCCACACTTCACCAAGGTCAAGGCCTTAGAAGCATAAACAAATGTAACCATCTACCACTGAGGTTTTACACAAAATACTGGACTGACAACAAAGGAGAAGAGGGTGAATCCTAGGAGGGCTGCACAGGAGCAGAGGGTTCAGCTGGGTGTGGAAGGTGGGGAAGAATCTGTCATTCTGAATGAGAGAAGGTAAGCAAGCAGGGGTTGTGCAGGTCTTGGGCATTGTGCAAGCAAGGATCTACCCTGGTGAGTTTCACTTCTTTGAAAACTACTATGTCCTTAGGTCCCACGTAATCACAACATCAGAAATACTTTCCTGTTTCTCTGGCCCAACTCACTGGTCCCACATCTTTGCTGTCCCGGTGCTCAAGTTCTTCACTACTGGAAAATTCCTCTTCATTGGGTTTCAACCACAAGCTCTCGTCAGAACTTTCTGAGGCTTTTCACTCCCAACCTGTGTTCATTCACAACCTCAGCTCTATATCATCAGGCTATGGATTAGGCAAAGTTATTAGTAATTTTATGTTCAAAATAGAATTCTAGTGTGCTGGAGAGATGGCTCAGTTGATAAAAAGAATAAAAGAAAACTTGCCATGTAAGTGCCAAGACCTTCCTTCAGATCCCCAGCATCCACATAAAAAGTCAGGCACAGTGGTACCTATCTGTAATCCCAGTGCTGGGGAGGTGGAGGACGGAGAATTCATGGAACTCACTGGAAAGCCATACTAGCTGAATCACTGAATTCCAGGCTCAATGAGAGACTCTGCCTCAAAAGTTAAAGTGGAGAGACATTGAGAAAGACATCAGACAGTGATTTTTGGCCTCCACATGCATGCACATGCAGGTGCATGCACATTTCACATGTGCAGACATCCACATAAATTTGTACATCACACAGACACAAAGACAGACAGACAGACACACACACACACACACAGAGAAATAGAACTGTGTATTTTCCCAGCTTCCCTCTTATCTAAAGCTACTATCTAACACTAATTTTGGATTGAAAACTTCACAATTTGGAGGGGCTTCTCTCGTTTGGCCTCAACATTTTCAGTCCAGACATGTCAGTTCCTCAGAAGCTTTATCACCTGCATTTTGAAAGATCTTCCAGGTGATGTTGAGGCATATGAGAGTTTAGGAACCAGTAGATTAGTTCAGTCATTTGTTGTATGTCACCAAAATCTATCCTAACTTGAGTATTACATTAGTTCATTATTGCCATGTCTCTGTTCCCAAACCATCGATGACTGCCAATTCCCCAACTCACAGTTAAACTCCTTCGCATAGCATTTGATAAAGTTTTTTTTTTTACTTATTTTGATTGTATGTGTATGAGTGCTTTGCCTGCATGTATGTAAGTACAACTGTGTTGTACTGTGGGTGCAAAGGACAGAAGTGTCAGATCCCATGAAACTGGAATTTTGAATGGTTGTTACCGTTATGTGGGTGCTGGGAACTAACTATTGAACAACATTTCCAACTCCCTTCTCATACCTGTTAAAGTTTATCATCTAGGTGCTATGGAGATGGCTCAGTAGGCAAAGTGCCTGCTATGCCAGCATAAAGACCTGAGTTCAGATCCTCAGCACCCATGTAAAAGGCCAGGCATGATGGTATCTAACTTTAACCTTGGTGCCAGGGGACAAAAGAGACAAATCTTGGGGGCCAACTGGCCAGGCAGTCTAGTCAAAACACAGAACTCTGGCTTCAGTGAGAAACCCTGTCTCAAGAAACAAGGTAGAGAACAATAGAGGAAGATACCCAGTATTGACTTATGGCTTCCACTTGAAATGGGGAAATTGGGGACACTTTAAATGGGGAAACGAGAGAGAGAGAGAGAGAGAGAGACAGAGAGACAGAGAGAGAGAGAAAGAGCTATTCATCCAGTTTCATTTCTCCAAATTAATGCTTACTAGACTGCTCCCTGATACTCAGC